GACATACGATGAAGTTGTCGAAATAGACATCAGGTTTTCAGCTTCGGTGACTTGCCTTGACAAAGGCAAGATATTTCTTACATGACTAAATAGTAGTCGAAATAAAACACCAAATATTGTTAAAATAAAATACCCAGCCACAGAGTATGGAAAGCTAAAAAGAAAGCAGAGCCCCGAGAGCACTAAGCTCTCGGAGAGCCCGTGAAGGACTGACTTGGTTGACCTAAAAATCGTCTATTTTTATACACACTGAAGTAGGGATAAATAGGGATTTACAGGTCAAGGACCAATAGGGAAAAATGAGGGGCGGGGCGATGCGTCTCGAGCGCGAACTAGTCGCGTCCGAGAACAATAGAGTTCTCATCAACAATATTGGACATGTGATCTTAGCCGAAAATATTGAAGATCTCCAGAGACCGGTGACCAGGATAGCGGAGTATGGAAAAGAGTACGGTCTAACAATGAACGTCAATTAATAAACGGAATCAACGTCGAACAAGTAGACAAATATGCATATCTGGGAACAATGATTAACTCCACACATGATTACATTCAGGAGATCAAAATTAAAATAGAAAAGGCTAGAGCAAATTTCAACAAAATGAGAAGTGTGCTATGAAGAACGGATTATAAATTGGAACTAAAAGTTAGGTTGACGAGGTGGTATATTTTTCGACATTATTTTGTGGAATGAAATCTTGGACCTTAAATGTAGAAGAATTCTGAAAATATCGTCGACAGAACACGTCAAAAACAAAGCGGTTCTGAAAAGAATGAATAAAGAAATAGAAATTTTAAATACAATTAAAACAAGAAAATTGGAATATCTCGGACATTAGACGTGGAGAGAAATACACCTTGCTCTAACTGATTATGCAGGGAAAGATCCAAGGAAAGAGAAGCATAGGGAGGCGTAGAAAGTCATCGTTGCGCAACCTGAGAGAGTGGTACGGATATAAATAAAATGAACTTTTCAGAGCAGCCGTCTCAAAAGTCCGAATAGCTATGATGATTGCTGACCTCCGCCGCGGAGACGGAAGATGAAGAAGAAGATTTAATTCCGTACTAGTTAACTGCAAAACTGATACTCAAAATAACAAGATAAACTGGATGCAGTTTCGTTGGTTACGGTATGAAAACTCTAAACAGTTTCAATACAAGATATCTTTTGACAAAGAAAAACCTTTCAAGACCGTAGATTTAGGAAAGAGGAGAAAAGCGGCTACAAATACAAATTTATTACCCAAAGAGGCATATTACCAGCCTGTGCCTATAACGATAGAAAAGAAAAAGCACCTGATGGACTTACTGCCATACATATCAGAATCACTGTGTGAGTTTGACAAAAATCTACCCACAGACAAAGACTTAGCTGATGTGCTTCCCGATTCATCAATTTCTGACGATGATTAAAAGTTAGAAGTACCTTTTAGCTAGATTTGTATGCATAGATACTTAATATTTAATATTTTTAGTACTTAAATATAAGTTGTATACCTTGCACTTAAGTAAGCTTGTATTAAGGAAATAGAATTTTCGATTATCCTCTGTGTTATCATTATTATGTTCAATTACAAAGGGGGTAAGTCATATGCTTATATGTGAAAAACGAAGTAAGTCAAAAGAAATATCGCTTTAAACATATTTTGTTCCTGCATGTTTTGTTGTGCAAAAAAATGTTAATCTTTTAATAAAAATTATATGTTAAAAAAATTTCAAGTAGATTATTATTCTAAACAACTGTAAAAAATCACTTCAAAAAATTACTGTAAAATTTTAAATAGTTTTTTTTCTTGTTTTCAAGTATTATGACTTGTCCCCCTTTTCACGCGCAACAGCGATATGCCCTCAGAAAAAAAAGTATTTCCTGGACTAATTCTTCTCTTAGTTCCACTCAATAGACATTTCTAAATTTTCTTGTTTTAGACTTCAATGCTTCTTAAATTATGTTTAATGCTTCATAAACTTTTTTTATGCTATCATAGCTGGCCGAATACCTATCAATGAACGACCTGATTATTGAACTAATCATATTGTACTTAAACCGAGAGCAAAGAAGGAAGTTGGGGACCGTTTTAAAGATATTTATTAAAAAAACTCGAACAGATCCTCCATTCTATGAGAGAATTCGAAGGTTGTTATCCTCTTATAGCATTTAATTTTCAAACTTTTTTTGATAAGTCGACTATGGCTGCATTTCCACCATGGACAATACCCCCTTTACAAGGCGATCTAACTCTTACCAAATACAACAAATTTAAAACTCCTCACGAATTAATAAACTAAGAATTATTTAACAAATTGGCCTGTTTTTCTGATCATTATCACATCTATACAGATGCATCCAAATCCACTGATGGTGTAGAATCAGCAATCGTCACTCCAAATACCACATTGCAATTAAAACTATCACCCACTAGCAGTATTCTCTCTGGAGAACTGTACTCGATTCTACAAGCATTAATTCATATAAACAACCACAACATCTCAAAAATCCTGATAATTACTGACTATAAACCAGGCAAAACAGCAAATTCGTTTCATCTGGGTTCCATCACATACTGGTTTGGAAGGCAATGAAAAAGCGGATCATTACGCCCGTGAAGCAATACAAAGTGCATCATCAATAACAGTAAATATAGTGTCTGTGTCGGATTTTAAATCAGTAGTATAAAAGAAAGTGCTAAGTGAATGGGGAAATAAATGGCAACAATCAAAATTATTTCTACACACTATTAAGCCTACAACACATTCATGGTGTGAAATAAACATTGACCGCCAGGTATTCGTTAAAATGAATCGATTGCGTATAGGACATAGCAAACTAACTCATAGTTATATTATCGCCAAATCAAATCGCCCTATATGTGATCTTTGTAACTATAATATACCTATCCATACCACATATTTTGGTAGATTGTCCCAAATTTATTAATGAAAGAAACTAACATTCAATACCTGGCAATATCAAAGATGTTTTAGGAGATAATTGTAATCCGAAAAACCTCTTTAATTATCTAAAGGATATTAATATTTTAAACAAATTGTAAATGAGTTTAATTTACTTATATTAATATATAAACAGATTTTACTTTAGTTACTAAAACACCATATTGTGAAATTAATCTTTCACTTAAATATTGTACTATAAACCTACCCACTTAATTGTAATGTACAACTGTACAAATCCTGACTGTACAATTATAAAATTGTATTTTATAATTGTAATTAATTGTATTGTGTATTATGTCATCCCGCTAATAACTCCAAATAGTTGATGCGGTTAATAAAGAAAAATAAAAAAAGAAGGAAGGATGCGAATTACAGAGAAATTTTAATTCAAAAACCAACGATGGAAGAGAAATAATGTTAACATACTCGTACTATTGCAAATAACTCATTATATTCGACCTTATACAAAAAATTTTCTGAAAATTTAAGTAAATGAACCAAAAAGTAATTTACTCACCAGCCATTTTCAATTTTCAATCAATTTAACACTATAGTTGGCTACGTTTAAAATGTTAAGCTTTCAGTTGTTTACTGTGTTAAATTTTCATCAGCGCTAAGTAAAGTAAAACGGCTTATCAGTAAAGAGATAAGAGCTGTTTGAAATTACATTTTAATGCCTGTCTCTATTACGTCGACAGACAGAATGATATTTTTATAGCACCTATTAAGAGAATAAATAATATCTAATTTAGAAAATTCTGGAAACGTGTTATAGTAAGTATTATAATATAAGGAATTAGGGTGTTGAGAGTTGTGCACGTGTACACACTTTTACATTCTTGTAGTAAATATATGCTTATGGCACTATTTATTAAATTTTAATAAAAAATGTTCCTACAAACGTGCAAAATAAAAAAATAAATTAATTAAATACGAAGACAAATATACTTATACATCAGTGGCGCACCTAGAATTTTTCTGGTGGAGGGTTGGTTGAAGAACTTGCGAGATTGGTATGGTGTTGATACAAGCATGCTATTTAGCGTGGCAGTGAATAAAATTAAGATAGCTATGATGGTAACCAACGTTCTGAAAGAACATGGTACATGAAGAAGGAGAAGAGTTGGTTGGACACCGAAATTTTTTTTATGCTAACTCCATTTTGAGTCCTTCAAAGTTGGGTTTTACTTTAATTCAAATTACTAAAGATAACAGTGCCAAAGATTCAGGTATCTCTTATCCTGCCTACCAACTAAAACCACCCTCTCCTACTTATGCGTAGTTGACAGTTGCACATACCGTTCTCCGAAAGTGGAATGGCCACTGTAAGGCTGACGACATTTTTGGAACACTACCTTCTCTTATGTAGTCTTATCTCTGTCGTTGGTCCGGTTGGTGTTTCTCTTCTTCTTCCTTCTTTTTAATTACTGTTCGGATGTAATTGTGAATGCTACTCCATTCCTCCTTACTTTCCGTCATCTTCACGATCATCTCTCTCACAGTCACACGGTTCATACCGATTTCTCTATATATTCTGTTTCTGTCCACTGTACATCTATTACACTCCAGCATTGTGTGAGTAACAGTAACAGTGTCAGAATATTTGCACTCTAAGCATTTATCTGTATCTGTCTTTCTGAACCTATGAATATACGCCCGAAAAAAGACGTTCTACCCAGTTTCTTAATTTTGGGATTAGCATCTTGGTCCACTAGGCAACATCTTTCGTGTTGTTCTACTCTTCTTGCCATTTTTCCATTGTCTTCTTTTCTCATGGCTGTTGTCACATGATCTCTTCTCTCATGGATATGTCTTTTTTCCACTGCTAACATAGTAGATTAACACAACCCGTGATAGTCTACAAGGCCGCCACAGGTACAGTCCTCCTTTAAAGAATTCTGTTCCTCTTTGAAAGCATTTTGCTTCTTTTACCTCGTTTTTTTGAACTATGTGTTTCTCTGGTGAAAACATGGGTCGCGTACGTACCAAGACAGCGAAGAAAGCCTCCAAAGTCATCATTGAAAAATATTAAATACGTTTATCTTTAGATTTTTACACAAACAAGTGCATCTGCGAAGAAATCGCAATTAATCCAACAAAACCTCTACGTAATAAAATTGCAGGTTTTGTTACACATTTGATGAAACGTCCTAGGCATTCCCAAGTGCGTGGAATTTCCATCAAATTTCCATCAAGTGAAGGACGTGATAACTATGTACCAGAAGTCTCTTCTCTTGAACATGATATCATTGAGGTTGATCCAGAGACCAAAGAACTGTTGAAAATGCTTGATCTCAACAATATTAGTGGATTGCAGTTAACACAACCAGCTGCAAATACATTCAACAGACATTCTTAAATGTTTTTGTAATGTAATTGACATTTAAAATAAATACAAAGTATTTGTCCAAACCTTAAGCCTTCTCATAAGGCAACACTTCAAAGAAATCATAAGTAAGAACCAATTCCAAAAAATTCTCTATACAGATACCTCAAAAAGCGAAGCAGACGTTGGATGTGCCATTACCACATATGATGAAATATTAAAATCCTCTATTTTATCGAATTTATGCAGCGTGTACACTGGAGAACTTTATGCGATACTAGAAGCTTCTAAAAAACTAAAAACAAATGATAAAAACCAAGCAATATGCACACGACTCCCTGTCGTTTCTACACTCGATAAAAAGTCTATACTCTTAGCATCCCTTAGTTCAAGAAATCCATAGGACTTACAGTGCACTCGCTTTTCAAGGTGTAAATCTCACGATTATCTGGCTACCACCCCATATCGGCATCCCCGGTAATGAAAAAGCAGACCAAGCAGCCAAGCAAGCTTCTTGTGTAAACAGTCAATTCTCAAAAGCCCAACATATTCAAATCCGTGATGACCTAAAGAAAATGTTTAAGCAACAACAGTATCATACCTGGCAAACCCACTGGAACACAATCAAGAGTGCATTACATGAGATCCGGCTGACTGTTGAAAAATTTGAACTTCCAACAATCTCTAGAAAAGAAAAAGTTGTCATCCGAAGGTTAAGAATAGGACATACCCGATTCACACATGAATACTTAATGAAGTCCGAGCCGAAGCCCAATTGCCAAATCTGCTCAAGTGTAACACATCCTAATCGAGTGTCCCCGGTACGCAAAACACAGAGTGCAATATAAACTTAAGTCAAATATCAAAGACGTTTTAAACTCACCCGATCAAGTCTTTTAATCTAATTGGTTTCTTGAAAGACACTCAATAGTTCAACAGAATATGACCCCTTGTTTTCATGTACTTTACCTTTAAGTCATAACTTAGTGATAAAACTGTTGTATTATTTAGTCATAGGTTCTAAGCTTATAGATTAACTGAAGCAATTAGTAACATGTGATTATTGTAATTCTTGTACACAATATTATTTGTGTCAATGGTCATTGCAGCCTATACACATTAATTTAAATAAAAAAAATCCCAAACTGTATTTTAAATAATAATTTGTCAACAAATTAAATGTATAATAAAATGTCTAAACGGCATTGTTTAGAGCCATATCTTCATCTATTTGAATATCCGGATGGATAAACATTAAAACTAAACCATTTAGACCTTCTTCGCTAATACAATTTCTTAAATAAGTCTTCAGTACTTTCAGCGATGAAAATAACCTTTCATATATATATAGGTGGTTACAGGTAATTTAATTGTGAAATTAGCATTTTGGATTTTTTGTATTGTGTGTGAAACATATGCGGAATAGCTGACAAAGAAAATAGACAAGAAGAGCAAAGCATTACATGTAACCGATGTTTATGAAGTGAAAAATAAATAATGAACAGAAAGATGCTAAAGTTGGATCCAAAAAGCCAGCCGAGAAAATGATTGCTCTTTGTAATTCACGTTACCACCCATTGATGTAGGAAGAACTGTTAGAACTGTAGGTATCTGATGTTATCTAAATTTTTAATAATCTCACATCAGTTAACTTGGACTCTCTTTGAACGCTAGCCATATCTTCCTAGTACCTCCCTTTTAATAATGTTACTTTGGATAATAAATAATTAACGCACTGTCTTAGTTCATTCAACCGTGTTTTATTATTTTAGAAAAATATTTTAACATTCTTATTTTTATCATATTATTTCTGTATAACATCGCCACCCAACCCACACTGTTGGTATTTTTCACATTGAGTATACGGTTTTACTTGCACGATATTCATATCTAGATATCGGCTAACCCAATTTTCTTTTAGTAGATGTCACTCCTAGTTCTCATTTAAAAATCATTCATTTTTCGGAATAGCTGTAGTGTACCCGATTTCCTTCAAACTTTTTTGATGAATCAATTCAAGGGTGTTGTGTACAAATATGTTATTCTTTATTTCGCCAAAAAGCGAGAGTTTCAGGGATATTAAGGATTAAACTGGAAAAAATAGTACTAACATTATTTTCTTGGTGTATTTCTATATTAACTACTATACAGGGTGTCCAGAAACTCTCCTGACAAACGAAGACCGGAGATTCCACAGATAATTGTAAGATCATTTAAACCAATTCACCTACTTAGTCCAAAAATGCTTCCTAAAAGATCTTGAGCTCTTTAAGACGGCGCGCGGCGCCTTGTAATTACTATTTTTAAATATCTCCAGAACACTTCTATTTATAAACAAAAACTGGGGCAATTATTTATCGTCCAAAGTTGAATGAATTCCATCAATTGTGAATTTCTATAGAGCGTTTCACGTTAAGGCCATTCCTCGCGATTCTGGGCATAACTAAATTCCAATGTAAAAGTTTATATCAAATAACGCAAAAACTATGGCAGATATTGAGATGATTCTTTTTTTATATGAAAGGTCTTAAAAAGTTCTAGTGCACTATTTGATTGTAAATTAATAAATTGTTTAAACAATATTTTTTTTTTAATATTTTTGGTTAAAATAAACGTAAAAATTTTTTTTTTGAAATAGGGCACTACAGAATTTTACCCACTTTCCGAATCTGTTTTTATTTTTAACATAAAGTGTAAGACAAAGCAGCTATTTCATATAAATTATTTAAAAAATGTTAAATTGTGCTAAATGTACTCTCTCTCTCGGTCAGTACAAGCTGTCCTTGTTGATAGTTTGTAGACTCTCGCCGACGAGTAGGTAAGAAAGTTGGAGGGTCATAAATAATGTTGAATAACATTATAGGGCTTATTTCGACTTTTGACTAGTTTTGACAAACCAGTGTGTTTTGTTGTTTTTAAAATGGGTAGTTCGCGAAGACGTTTATGCTCCGGACGAAAAAGTCGACGACGATTGAGGAAATTTTATATAAATAAGCAGTAAGTACCTATAATTTGATTAAATTTTTATATGAATAGAAATATTTTCTGTTGAGTTGTGACATTTTCCTTTTAAATGCTTATACTGTTTTTATAATAATACTATTGTTTCAATATTTACTTATATAATTATAATTTATTATGTAGAAACAGAGTAGAATTTTGGTCAATCGGTCAGTACATTTTTTTGTATTTCAATCAGAATTATTATTTTCTTTTCTTCTTTACATGAGCTCAGAGTAATACCCAAATAGTTTGCAGTATTTGAATATGGAATTTGATTAATTATATTTATTGGACTATTTATTTTGAACGTTTTTGTTTACATGAACCAACCTATATTTGGTTTGTCCTCATTTACCATTTCTAATTAGGACCACAAGTCCTAATTCACTTGCCGCGTCCGCAAGCCTTGTAAAACACTGCACCATGTCTCTTATGGTTCTATTAAAAATAGTTACATTCATTATAATATTGTATTTTCTGGTTGCCTTTTCCAAGGCAACATTAAAGAAGAGACAAGCCAGCGCCTCCCCCTGTCTTATACCATCATTAACGTCAAAGCACATGGAGTTTTCTCCTTCAATTCTAACGCACGAACTCACGTTTTACATTGTTAGTTGGGTCAACTTAACTAACTTCGGTGGGATCCCAACCAAAGTCTATCATTGCTTAACACTGTCATAGGCTGTCATAACGTGTATCTATGTTATATTCTAGTGACTTTTCTAGAATCTGCCCATGTGTTTGAATTTGATGTATAGTTGATTATGCAGCAGTAAATCAACAATATCCTTTGTAAAATGTTTGTCTTTCAAACAATACATTGCCGAAGATTTTATACGCAGATGCTAACAGAGTAATGCCTCTATAGTTCTTACAATCCAGCTGATAGCCCTTTATGCAACGCATATTATTTCATTTAGCCACTCTTCTGGTACCAATTCATTCTGCCATATAAGTACTATTAGTTTACGGATTACTGCAAAAAGTTGATCATCACCTTTTCATACATTTCCCAGCAGATTTAATCGATTCCTGTGGCTTTATTTACTTTATGTTTTAAGACGGCATTTGACACTTCTATTATTGTTGGGTCTTCACTATGTAGTTGACAATGTAGATTTTGTTGATTGTCTATGTTGTAACCTCCTTCAATATCGTGTATATAATGTATTATATAAATAGATATAATATGATATAATAACAATGTACCTATACTCGTAATATGATATAATCCGTATAAAACGTCTTCCGACGTCCATTTTTCATTGAATTCGGTTGTTCCATTGTTCTTTAAGTACTTTCGAGCGCATTGAGTTTTTTATTCGTTCCATCCGTGTTTTCTACGGTAGTCCTTTCTTCTGGATTCCTGTAGTTGTTCATAGATGTACTTGTTTCGGGAGTCTACTGTCTTTCATTCATTGGACATGTCCGTACCATTTGAGATGCCTTCATTGTATGCCATCCATGACTGTACCTTCTATTCTCATACTTTATTGCATCCATTTCAGCGACATATCTTTCTTCGATGTCTCTGTTAATCGTCTCGTTTCACAACCGTGTAAATAAAAGCATGCTTTTTACCATAGTTTCATGGGTTCTAGTTCTAGAGAGAGCATGTCAGCTGAGCCAAAACGAAAAACAATCCTCCTGATTGCTTCCACTGGAATAAACTTGATTGTTTAACTGGGCCCGGACTACCTTCTTCTAATTCTTTAAACTCCCGTTTTGAAATTAATAATAATCGTTATTTTGTCTAATTACCTATTTAGTTGTCAAGACAGATACATTGTTACCTAAAGAAGTGAAAGTGGTTCAATTTAGAAATTATATCGTAAATAATAAATATTTGAAAACTAATGCATATATTCCTCCCGCGATTTGAGCTACTAATTTTATAAATCGCACCACTAATAGACGTAAATCCCTTCATTTTAATTTCATGAATGATTTTATTCGTCACATCTCAACATTTTCCATTTCAGAATATTTATCATCAAACTGTAATATACGTTAAAAGCCAATTTGTCAGC